TCCGACCAGCTTTAGTTCGTTGTCTAGCAAGGAAACCATGTTTTCTTTTCCTCTGTAAGTTATTTGCTCTATATTCGTTGCCATATTGAACACAACGTACAAGAGACCAAGATGGCGTACAAGATGGTTTGAAAAAACTTTGAGTTAGGTTTGGTAAAATACCCACGCCAAAAGACGCAAAATTTCGTACAGATGCAATTTTATGAAATATCCAACTCATTTCACTTAAAAAAAAGTCAATATTTCTTTCACAACAGAACTCTCCAATCTCTCATAAAAAGTTCACTCAAGTTCACTTCCCAGGCTGTGGCTTCATACTTCATGTAATGGATATTATTTTCTCCCACCATTGTTGGGACATTTTTACATGAAGTAAACCACTTTTTATTGGTTGGCACGAGCCCACGTTTTTATCCCCGGAAATGGACCTCGCACGCCAATAGCCTGGAGACAAGAATATCCAATAAAATGGGTATAAACCGGGTGTGTACGAGAGGGGGTAGGAAGTGTGACAGAGCAGCGGATGGCGGCCAACCGACAACTCAGAGTCTGAAATATTGTTGTCCACTGCACGTATTGACCTCGTGTTTGGTGGCAAATATACTTAAGAGGAGTTTTTTATGTTCCCGTAACACGCGCTCGAAACTAACTACATTCAAAATTTTTATTTTTCGATACGTCTCTTAACCGGCCTTAAAAAGTATGCTTACTGCTTTATCTGTAAAATGATGCTAAAATGAAAAGATTTTAGATGGCAAGCGGCCAGGGGCGGATCTAGGGGTCGTCAAACCAGTCACGCGACTAACGTAAAAATTGCAAACTTAATTAAAGTCTTAAATATTCGACCAATAGTCCAGTTATTAATTTTATCATGCAGCGACACCTTATAATAGTCCAGTATCTATTATCATGCAGCGCTAGCAATTAACATTCCAATCGAACTGTAGTCCAGTGATCAAATTTCATACTGGTTGAGCCGACGAGCTTAGTCAAGTCAATGAGCAGCTGACATACGCAAAGTCGGTCAGTCAAAAAGTCAAAATCCAGTGTTCTGATTGGTCTAGATGCTTATTGCCATGGAAACAAGCGATTTTTTGCGATTTTGACTGATCTGTGGGGAGTTCTGACCGATTTACAAAAGTCAGGGGCGCTCCATCAGTCGGAATATCATTAATATTTCACGCGTGGTAAAGTCTTCCGAGCGCGCGCTCATTCGAAGTGTCATGTTGTAGCTTTGTCGAAAGATTCAATTTAAAGATATCTACGGAAAATTCGGAAATGTCTGCTGCTCCAGACAACAGTCCTTGTAGTATTCACGAAACGGTTCAATCCGCATTTGCGGTGAATGATTTAGCTATCTTACAAGACTGTTGCGCTGATCTTGGGAGGAAAATCAACGCTAAATATCGGAGAGTTCCATTCAGTGAGCAGTTACGAATAGCACGAACTACAGTTTGACTGTTTGAGTAGAAGTATTGGCGCCGAGATCTTTATTCGGAAGTGCAATAAGGTAAATTTAATGTGATATGTAAATTTTATTTCGTTTTAGACAGCATAACAATATTTATAAGCGAACAAGATGCGCGCCATGCATATGTAAAATTGTAACTTGAATACACGTATCTTGATTTAGATTTAGCTATGAATTTTGATTTACACAACAAATTTGCATATTTGTAATTTTGCGGTTGAAGGACCGTCAGAACTGAGAAGGCTATTAATATGGCGGATAACCTATATAAATGCATTAATGCAGTATACATAGAATATAAAGGTCAGGTTTTATAGATGACCATGGATGAATGTTAAGACTTTAATATTGATATATGTTTATTTGAGTAATATGAGACTGTAGTGATTACTAGTCAAGTGATCAATGACTCAACAAGGCTATTAGGCAACAAAAATGAGTGTAGCACTATCATGAGATAGTTAAACATAATACTAGCAATCCGTAATTTGATAAAATGAAACATCTTCCACAATTATCACATTTCTGCAAGTACTTCTCCAGTTCTCCTTTACTTTTCCCTAAGGAGCGAGTTGTGAGAGTCAGTCAGACTGATAGTTGCTATATATAATTATCTCCCATTTCATGAAGTTAATTTTTTGTGAAGCTGCTTTCAGAGTGATGCAAATTGCGTTTCTGAGGTTTAAAAATATAAAAATTCTTGGGGGACATGACAGAACCCCCCAGGTGCCTCGCGCATTCGCCGCTCGCAAAACTAGATTGTACATCCGAAAACTTTGACTAATGTACGAAAAATCCTGGATCCGCCCCTGGGCAAGCCGAAGTTCAGTAAGTTTTGCTTATAAGTTTTGCTTCAACGAATCAACTGTGGCAATGTTTGCCGATGATACCAAGTGCTACCGTCCGGTGAAAGATTTACCCGATTGCGAAAGTCTGCAGAATGATCTCAATAATCTCGTGAACTGGTGTACTATCTGGAAGATGGACTTAAATAAGTCTAAATGCGGAGTAATGAGCTTCACAAGAAGTCGCCAACCAGTCACAACAAATTATAAACTACTGGATAGTTCTCTGAGGCAACTATGTCATCAAAAAGACCTTGGGATTGTTGTCACAAAAGATCTCAAGTGGACGAAACAGGTTGAAGAAATAACATCAAAAGCGAGCTCAATGCTAGGCTTCATTCGTCGAACAGCCTCCGACACTCATAACATCCACGTGCGAAAGGTGTTGTACCTGTCCTTAGTGCGCAGCAAGTTAGGATATGCCAGCCAGGTGTGGGCACCTCAAACTGTCAGCGACATACTGTCAATAGAACGGGTTCAACGTCGCGCGACCAAATTCATCCTTTCCCTTCCTTACAGAACAGCCACAACATACAGGGAACGACTACTGGTTATCGGTATTCTCCCGGTCTGCTATTGGCACGAATTTCTAGACTTAGTTTTTCTTTACAAGAGTATTCTAAGCAACGATGTCAATGTGTCAATACGAACAACCACCCGGACGACTAGAAACGCTGACCCTGTCAATGGTATTCTTCTTAATGTATCTCGATGCAGGACAGTTAGCTACAAGAACAATTTCTATGTGAGAGCGCCTAGCGTATGGAACATTCTCCCTAGCAATATTCGTGACACGTCATGCAAGATCATTAGCTTACTTTAAAATCTCTTTATTCAATTACTACTTAAACCTTTTAGAACAAATATACAACCCGGACAATCCTAGAACATTTAAGTCCGTGTGCGTCAAATGCCACTCAACTCGGTCTCTTGATAGTTTATTAGTGAGGACATGTTGTTGACATTTTAGCATAATTTGTTTTAATGTTATATATTGTAACTTATTGTGAGGGGCCCCATAATTGGAGATTATCTCTGTGGCTAGTCCCTGCCCGAATTGTATGTAAATTTTGTAAAGTATTAGTCTTATTTATGTCTGTTATGTTTGGCGAATCTTGTAAAATAAAATAAAATATTGCTGTAAATATAGAGTCGCTTTTAAAGCATCATTGATAAATGTATTTTAATTGACAAATTTTATGTTTCTCAACTGGCAAATAGTCTAGAGAATAAAGCTAATTAAAGCAAAACAATTTTGAGAGGTACTTGAGCACTTTTCATCGCAAAAATGCAACATTGAAAAAAATTGCCTCTTAGTGAAAAGATTGAGCATCACTTCCTCAATCCAAAGTGCCAATGCATTTAATGTTGATAATCATGTAAAGCAATATCGATTGGTAGCACTGAAGTGATCGTGAACCCCATTGTATTACTGGAAATTGGAATATATCAAATGACCAATGTCGTAACCACGGTCATTACGACTTTGAAGAAATCATATAATTGGTAACTGAGGAATATATTTTTCATACATCAGAATATTTTACACGGAATTCTTTCAACTCATGGAAAATCCAACATCACAAATTTCTAATTAAAGTTCCCCACTTAAGTTCCTGACTCCTTAGACGGCGGCGCAAATGAAGGCTTCTAGGTAGACATCCTGGCTCCATAAAACTCTCGATAAATTTTGGTATTCTATGGGTCGAGTTTTCTTTCTAAGGCCTAGAACGAGAAGAAAATCACAACAAAACTGTAGAACGTAGAAAATGTAAAATTGTTTTGTTTTGTGGAAAATAAAAGAAAAGTAAAAGTTGGATAAATGAAAAACAAAACAACTGAAGGGTTTGGGTAATAAAAGTTCATTGCCATTTCCGAAGACTGACTCACTCAAATATTGAAGACTAAAAAGCAATCATATGTCAATACAATACGTAAATCAACTAGAGTCACTATCTTGATCATTTTCCGATTTGCCTCTAAAAAAAGTACATGCATGCATGTGCAGACAACATGAAACTTTACACTGCAGATTGCACAAGCTGGGTTCTTTATGATGGTACTCTGAGAATATCCAGTGCTAGTGGGAATCGAACCCGAGACTTTTGGTTTGCAAGTCCAATGCTCCACCAACTAAAGCTACGAGGTCAAGTCGGTTTGAGTGGGTCATATTTCGGAACTCAATATACTTTCTTCGATATCTGTGTTTGTCTTATGATCATTACATGACATATAGCTTCGCATTGAAAGGGATAAAACTACCTGAAAAATACAAGCAGAACTTCGACGTTTCAAGCGAAGACCTTTTGGGTTGTCTTGTTAAGTTGATATCGTCGCTATCTACACTGGCAGAGACCGTTCGAGATCATAAGACTGATATAGTGATGTCAAACAGTTCTATCTATCACGATGCAAACCTACAATGAAGTGAGAGTATACCTCTTTCATAGTATTTCCCATTTGTGCAGGAGAGTTTGTGACAATCACACCAGCTTCTTTCAAACTTGCGATCTAAACGTTACGTTCAACAAATACATGTTACTGATAATATCACTGGACAGAAGAAAGTAAATTTCTTTCACACTGTTCAGCAGTATTTAATAAGAATATAGACGATGTGTGGCCAGGATACATATAAAGGCCCATTTCCACTCAAGAAAAATTTCCACGGACAGAAAATTTTC